CAGGACATGTGACCCTAAATGAACCACAGGACAATTTACCCAAGTAAAGATCTGAAGTATTGGCCAGTCAGAATATCATATTATCCCTCTAATCTCCAGCCATTAACTCCAATCTGGATCAAAACCCAGACTAACATTCTGTGTGTCCTAAAATCACTGTTTGCAACAACATAAGGGTGAGGTTTTGGTTTCAAGTTAAACCAAACTTATTTTGACAGGTTGTCGTGACAAACTCATTCTGCATTTATATAAGAAATTCCATGATTCTGTCTGATCGTCACATCACAGTTTAAAGCTCAATGGGAAGAGTGTATCTTGATGTCACTGGTGACATCTGATGGACAGACTTCACAGAGAGACCTGATTAAACTAGCAGACTTCTCAATCACGGCACTGCATCTGCACATCACGAGAAAACAATCTCAAGAAATCAAAACTGCTACTTCATCAGGACTCTTCACATTAACATTAGACGACCTCATGAAACCTTTAAACCACTACAAATGAGACTGAAACAAACATTTTAAATGACTAACTTACCCACAGTCGATTGATGTGTTCAGAGAACAAATCTTGTGGAAAATAAAAACTCTCTCCTCAGGTGTACAAACGAATCGCTACTCATACAGACATAAAAAGCAGCAAGAAGCGAGAGCAGCGAGCATCCTGTCAGTGAACAACATCGCTTATCAAATCTAAAAACATCTCACGCAAACCTCAACTGATTTAAAGCAATAGTGACATGTTGAAAGTCTCTTCCAATGAAATACCAGTGCAATGGAGAAGTACGTGGTTAGTATACCACATCAAGATAACGGCTGACCTTTTTCTCAGTTTAACCAACCACATCTCCACTGCATGCTCAGCATGGCTCAAATCTGAACTTTCAGACCTAAAGGACCATTTACACCAAGGACAATAACTATAAACTATAACTATAAAGTTATAGCTAATTAGAACAATAATAGCTATGATAGTCATTCTAATTCTATGAGAACAGAAAAGTCCATATCACAACTATCACAATACATAAAATCACAATATCACTGGAATTACTTTCAGAATGATTCCTTTTTGGTTAATGAACAATATAAACATTTGACAGCCAAATCAAAAGCCATCTGACTTTAAAGAACTTAAGCATTTCAGGCGGCAAATGACAAAACTGCAGCATGCTTTTATAATAAACAGAACGTTGGTTATATCGTACGTTGGTATTAATGCTAATATAGTTACCATTCTTGGTTTGAATGGGCTTTGACTCTAGAACTTATCTTCATCTCGACTCTTACAACGGCTCACATAGGTTGATTTTACTTCTGGTTCATTTATCACACTGGAAATGAAATGGCAAACGCATTGCATTATGGCATACAGTTTACAGTGTAGTGTGCTTTGGCTGTATACTGCAAAAGCAAAGTAGGTCATCTGTAAATAGAGAAATCTATGCATATACAGTACTTACTATATAAAGCAGAAATAGCATGTGTTGGTATACGACTATGATATTACAAACATAACCAGAGTGTTTATTTCATTTCAGTAACCTAAATAAGTTCAACTTCATCACATGAACATTAATGAGCAGTTTACCTGATGGGTGGACAATAAATAATTCAAAGGAAACTGGATGAATGGATGGAAACAGCATCACAACAGGGTAGGGGTCGACCGATTATCGGCGCCGATATTAAGCATTTTTATGAAAGCGCTTGCCGAAAGCGCTTGCTAACTGGAGCTGCTTCAGTGATCACGACCGGCCGATCACCGATCCGATCATGAGGAAAATCGGCCGATTCCGATCCCTGGCCGATCGATCGGTGCATCTCTAATGGTTACATAAATATCAAGACAAGCAGACCCTCTACAGTGGTGTACAGTGTGACGAAGACACAAAAAATGTTGGGGAGGGACTATAGAGTTGTCCTATACTCTATCTAGATACTATATGGTAGTGATATATTGCAGAAATGACACACTTTAAACCTCAAACTAGTTCAAATTTACACTGCAAAAGTGGCATAGAAGCCACCTCTGAGCAGCATTAAACAGTCTGTGTCACAGATGCCTAAATGCTGCTTCTGAAGCGCTTCTGTGCAGTGTACATTCAGCACAGAGACTCATCCTCGGGTGTCTCAGGATTCAGTAAGAAGAAAGTCTGTCAAAAACCTCCACAGTTCTCTCTCAAAACCTAGTTAAGCCGGGTTGACAGGCTTTTAACCATTTAATCTACTCCACCCAATCAACCAGGAGGGCTTTGACAGTTCAATCTGGATGTGTTTTAGTTGCTTGAGTCAAACACTCTGACTAAACCAATGTGAAGTTTAATGAAGGCCCACCAACCCGTCCATCAAAATGAATAAAAAAAAATGTCCACAAGTTGACCTCGGCCTAAATGCAGTGATGTCAATCAAGAACCGTCAAATCCAGTGTTTCCCCTGCCCCCCCGAAGGTCAAGTTAATTTTATTTAATTATATTTTGTCTATAGCGCCAGATCACAACAGAAGTCATTTAAAGTTACCTTTCCGATAGAACAGGTCTATACCTTGTTCTTTTATTAAACACACTAAATAGCCTTATGTTATTTATCTTATTTACACGACGGCATGTAATTTCGGTCTCTACATTATGGTCGCCCTCTCTGTATCACGCACAGCGGAGTTCCGCCCCGATGCGCACGCACACACACACACTCATACCATTAAAATAAAAATGCTACATTTAAATTAAACATAACATGTACTCTTGAAGTAAACAATGTGCTACAACAGGTATATTATGCACTGCTGTGCTCTTAGAGTATTTTACTTTCATTTATTCCATGTAGTTTCAAGCCAGTTCTATATCACCGCTCTATATTAATGCGCTGCTTTAACTGATGCACACACACACACACACACACACACACACTCACACACACTAGGGCTGGGCGATACATCTTAAAAAATTACTGTTTGTTTTTCTTGTAACCCAAAACACCATAGTAAATCTACAGATCTAGTAAATTAGAACTAGTTAATCTGTTTGTCTAATAACCCTGAACTAGTCAGAACTAATAAAGCTGTCCTTATGTAGTAAACCAGAACACCCTAGTAAATTTAGATCTAGTAAACCAGAACTAGTTAATCTGTTTGTCTAATAACCCAGAACACCCGAGTAGGTCTACAGAACTAGATCTAGTAAATCAGAACTAGTAAATCTGTATGTCTAGTAACCCAGAACACCCTAGTAAATCAACAGATTGAGTAACATTACTATAAATCAGAACTAGTCAATTTGTTTGTCTTGCAACCCAAAACACCATAGTAAATATACAGAACTAGATCTAGTAAACCAGAACTAGTTAATCTGTTTGTCTAATAACCCAGAACACCCTAGTAAATCTACATCTAATAGATCAGAACTGGTAAATCTGTTTGTCTAGTAACCGAGAACGCCCTAGTAAATAACAGTTACACAAATCTAGTAAATCAGAACTAGTTTATCTGCTCGTCTAGTAAGCCAGAACATCCTAGCAAGCACACAGCTTTCAAATTTAAGGCTTTCCCCCAACTTCCAAGCAAATCTTTGACAAGCCCACGTACAAAGTTTGGTTATCGTCTACTTAGCGGGGCTTAGGCGCTTACGTTCTTGTTCCCGCTGTGGGCGGGGCTGACGTGATGACGCCACTGCGCAGCTCCAGTCACAGAGCTTCTCTTTTTGTGTTTTTTCAGACTCTACTGTGACACACAATTCTCTTTATTGTAGGAATAAGAGGATGTTTGTGGGGCTGTTTTTAAAGCACACAGCAGGAAATTATTCAGACGCTGATCTCTGATCAGATCTGAGCCATTGTTCCATGAAGACACTATATATATATATTGCACATACAAGTCATACTCCTATTTTGTTCCGTAAATTTTCATGCAAGTCTGTGTCCAGTTGTTTTATTTCTGATTATATATTTTTTCACTGTCTAAACATTGTGATTTTTTTTTTTCAATTTTAGCTTTAATTATTTGAATTTCCCCCATACTATAAAACACACTTGTATAATATTACAAAACATAAATGTATATTATGAAATGTATTGATCTAATTTTTCATTTTTATTTAACTTTACATTTACAATTGAAATATACTTCTCCTTTCAGCACTTTTAAAGGTCTCAAACTTCAAAGGTTGCAAACTGTTCTAAAGAAAACTTGTAAATGTTTTACTGATTTGATTCATTTTTTTAAATAAAAAATAAAATAAAATAAAGTGAAATAAAATAAAATCAAGTCAAGTCAAGTAAAGTGAAATATAAAATAAAATAAAATCAAGTCAAGTAAAGTGAAATATAAAATAAAATCAAGTCAAGTAAAGTGAAATATAAAATAAAATAAAATAAAGTCAAGTAAAGTAAAGTGAAATATAAAATAAAATAAAATAAAGTCAAGTAAAGTGAAATATAAAATAAAATTAAATAAAATCAAGTAACATAAATTGAAATAAAATAATTAAATTAAATTTAGTTTAATTAAAAAAATAAATCCACAAAAGCTGTTTTAGAACGTGATGCTTATTTCTGTTTAAAAAAAAACATATTTGATCATTTTTGTTCAATTAATTTAAATGTATTACATTTCCGGTTATTATAGTAATATCTACAGAAATATATGTATTTTTCAGTGGCAAGAACACCTGATAACACAATTGGTAAATGTAAAATAATAATAAACATAATAAGAATTATAAGAATTATAAGAATAATAACAAATTTAAAAAATGTTATGATGTAATTAATGACCTACACAGTCAAAGAGATAAGAAACAGTAAGAAAATAATAACTAGACAATCTTATGGTTTGTTCAGGGAGTGAAGAAAAACATTTTCATATGATTTTTAGGCTGTTGCTGCTCTCTGGTGGTTATTATTTTCTGTGCACAAGGACTTTATCACAGCATGAGTCTAAGTAATAACAGAGTTTAAGCACTATAGGAATATATAAAAATGACAAGGCTAAATAAACAAAATATGATTTTATTGAAAAGATGTATGTGTAAACATCGATTTATGTCATGTTATTTCACAATCGTATCATTTCTTTATCTTTTAAAAAGGATACTCTCAGTATTGGGGTAAGAATGTTAGTTTTGCTGAAAATTGTTGGAAAAGACATGAAACTATATTCACATGACCTCATTAACATTTAATTGATCTTTAAAGCACCATGATCATATTTAAGGCACGGATGCATTTAAAAATCTTTAATACTGAGTGTGGCTTTATTGCATCTTTCAGGCAAGACGTGGTGTAACAGAAGCATTCAGATGGAACTGCCATGTCCTTCATCACCGGAGGTCTGCTCACGTCTCTTTGAATCTTCAGTTCCAGCCTTCTCGCTCCACACAGCCCAGTCCCACAGCGTTATCCGGACACCTGCACGAGCGCCCAGCAGCTGTCGCCAGACACAAGTGAGTACAGCCGCCATTATTGCTCGAGCAGTAGTTCTGACCTGATGGGAAACAGTGAATATCTTACATTAGCTGCAATAATGGCACAAATGTGTTTTGTTTCAGGCATTATGATACCTTGAACTTTTGCTCTGGGGTCCAGTTGTTTACAAATGTTGAGCATCAAAAACTAACATCATTTATGAAGAACCAAAGCACACGAGAGAGAGGAATCATACCAGACGGGCAGTGAGCGTGTGCTGTGGTGATCCCGTACAGACGTGTTCGTTTCTGGGGCTGGAACTCGTCCACCTCTCGCCTCGCATATCGATCGACCACAACTACAGCACCCCTGCTCAACACAAACACAAACCATCAGGAAAACACTATGTTTGTGATACATATGTATGTCCTACTACTTGTTTCACTTCTGTTTCAGTTTTTATAACCATTTCTTACTGTGTGTAAGTAAGTTGTTGTTTTTTAGCATGTGTGTTTGGCAGTGTTATTTTTTAGGATTACTGATAAACTACTGTCATTTGATTTGTATTATTTGTATTTGTTATTTATTTTAATTTTAGTTACATTATGTCTGAATTTATTATGTCTGTATAGGTCTTTTATTAAGTTTTTAGTTTTATTTAATTTTAGTTATTTTAATACTTCAACAAACTAAATGGAAATGAAATAATATTTTGAATTTATAAATGTGTATGTATATATACAGTATATATATATATGTGTGTGTGTGTGTATGGTTGTACTAGAAATCTTTTGTAACATTATAAATGTCTTCACTGGCACTTTTGATCAATTTAATGCATCCTTGATGCATAAAAGTATTAGTTACATTATCATTATTTTATTAACTAAAGAATAATTAATATTTGCAGGTTTGCATCACAGGAATAAATGACATATTACAATAAAAACACTCATTTTAAATTGTAATAATTGTTCACAATATTATGTTTTTGTGCTGTATTTTTAATTAAATAAATGCAGCCTTGGTGAGCAGAAGAGACTTCTTTAAAACACACACACACATTAATACAGGTATGGACTATTAAGATTTTTTGCACCATTTTCATGAAAATTACGCATATTTTCCTCCCAAATTCTTATTATTGTAGTGCATCCTGACCTTTTGCATGTGAGTTGTTTGTGTACTGCTTATGTCAGTACTGTCAATTGCTATAACAGCTCCACTGTGATTCTCCACTAACAGAGAGCAAAAGGCTGTAAGAAGATCAGAGAGAGACACTAGACGGCCCGTGAAATTACACGCAGCTGCCACAAGCCTTAAAACAGGCCTCTTGACCCGACCTCTGCATAGCAAACACATTCAGGGTTAAAGCGCCAAATCAGTGCATGCTGCTGTTGAGGGAACCCACGCTAGCACACAGACACATCAAGGCCTCAGAAGAACAGAGAGCTGTTGAGCTCACAGGTTTAGACTGAACCTTGACCTTGCTTTCCCATCATAAACCACAACCAAACAACACGAGCAAGACCAGATGAAATCTTAATTAGTTGATTAACTAACAGTTAATTAGCATTTTCTGTGCAGATTCTGGGTGAATATCCAGACCCAGCCGTTATTATTCCTATTATTCTGTTACAATACACTACCATTCTAAAATCTGCAGTCAGTATGATTTTTTTAAAAGAAATTAATACTTTTATCCATTAAGAATGCATTAAATCAAATGTTATTTATATATATATGTTATAAAATAATTATATTTTGATTTATAATAATCAGAAATGGTTCTTGAGCAGCAGATCAGCATATTATACTGATTTCTGCAGATCATGTGACACTGAAGACTGGAGTAATGATGCTGAAAATTCAGCTTTGATCACAGAAATAAATTACATTTTAACAGATATTCACATAGAAAACAGCTGTTTTAAATTGTAATAATATTTCACATTTCTACTGTATTTTTGATCAAATAAATGCAGCCTTGGTGAGCAGAGGAGGCTTCTTTCAAAACATTTTAAGGACCTGTCACTCAATGAATGTCCATTAACTTCTCATTATAGTGCGATGTTGTTTAAGTGAAAGTTCACCTCGTCCAGTCCGTATAGTAGAGGTTCTTTCCATCAGTAGTCAGTCCGAAGGGATACTGAATTCCCTCCATAAGCTGCCTCCGACTGCCCTGCTGCGGATTCATGCACTCCACTTTATGTGTACCTGCATCAGAAACACCAAACACCATCATTAACACTAAAGCTTCAACTAAACAAAGCGTTTAACGGAGCTTGTGGCTTTCATGAGTTAAGCAATGAGTTGTTTTCCCCCCAAACAGCTGTGACTTTATTGCATTTGTAAATGTTTCTCAGTGAACTGGAGCCGTACCAGCATCCGCCCAGCACAGCAGAGACGTCTGAGGGTCGTAAGTTAAACCGTTGGGGAGGCCCAAGTCATCCTTGGCCAGGACTCTCCGATTTGTGCCGTCCATGTAAGCCATCTCAATTTTGGGGGCGTCCCTGTTCCAGTCAGCCCAGTAGATGTAGCTGAGGGAGAAACAGGCCTTGAAAACACTTTGCAATAACTAATTCACTGCAGAAATGAAAGGTACTTTGGTAAGCACTCAAATTCTTAATGCCAAGAATGAGTATAAACATGGTTTTATATACGAGTATATAAACAAAACTGTAATCATGGTCTAAAACTAATGCAGGTGAAATGAGGAAATGCATAAATATCAGCCATGAAACTGTATTTACATTATTTATGCCAAATCTTTACACAGCCTAATTAAGGCTGCACAGTGCCTGCTCGAAATTCAGTGTAAAGACATAATGCCACATTAAAGCCAGATTAGATTATGCCTGCTCTGTCCCACTTTAACCTCTACTATCACAGTATAAAAATGCATTTATGCCACCTCAGAGCAGCATTAATCGATCTGTGTAAATAAAATACTTAAATGCCACTTCAGAAGCGCTTCTGTGACACCTTTGCAGAGTAAATTTGGCATTACACAGCAAAGGTGGCACAGAAGCGCTTCTAAACTGGCATTTATTTGTCTTTACACAATGTTTTAATGCAGCTCAGAGGTGGCATAAGTGTATTTTCCTCCTCTGCAGAGTAAATTTGGCATTTCACAGCAAAATCCGGCACAGAAGCGTTTCCGAACTGGCTTTCACAGACTCTTTTAATGCTGCTCAGAGGCGGCATGAATGCATTTACGCAGCAATATTTTGATACTAGGGACAGCGCAGGTATAATTTAGTCTGGCTTTTATGCAGAATTATGTATTTACATACAATTTTGAGCTGGCACAAAGCAGCCTTAACTCATTTATTAGGCATGTTTACATAGCCAAGTTGAGGCTACTCAGTGCCTGCTCAATGTTCAAGACATAATGCCGCATAAAGGCCAGACTAAATTATGCCTGCTCTGACCCACCTTAGCCCCTAGCATCACAGTATATAGTTGTGATTGTTGTGTCAATGCATTTATGCCACCTCTGAACAGCATTAATCGATCTGTGTAAATTTACTTTACATGCCACTTCAGAAGCGCTTCTGTGCCACCTTTGAAGTGTAAACTTGGCATTACACAGCAAAGGTGGCACAGAAGCGCTTCTGAACTGGCATTTACGTACCTTTACACAGACTGTTTAATGCTGCTCAGAGGTGGCATAAAGGCATTTACACAGCAATTTCAACTATATATTGATACTAGGGTCAGAGCAGGCATAATTTAGTCTGGCTTTTATGCAGCATTATGTCTGTACACACAATTTTGAGCTGGCACAGAGCAGCCTTAATTCATCTGTAGGTGTCTTTACACAACCGAGTTAAGACTGCTCAGTGCCTGCTCAAAATTTTGTGTAAAAATGCAATGTTGCATAAAAGCCAGATTAAATTATGCCTGCTCTGACCCACCTTAGCCCCTAGTATCAAAGTATACAGTTGTAATTCTTGTGTCAATGCATGTATGCCACCTTTGAGCAGTATTAATCGATCTGTGTAAAAATACTTTACATGCCACTTCAGAAGCGGTTCTGTGCCACCTTTGTTGTGTAAATTTGGCATGTGTAAAAAAGCCTTTATTACTGAATCACATCACTTATAAGCGTCAGATTATCATAATTAATTCTTATAAATCTTATTTATTTAAAGATGTATTATGTTGCATTTCTATCCAACTATCTTTACTTGTCAAATCACTTGTTGTTAATTTTAAACCCTGGTTGTTTCTAGTTAGTCACACACCCATTGGTGGGATCGGTGAGGATGGCTCTTGGGTTAACCAGGTCTGTGTTAATCAAGACACGGCGCTGGGATCCGTCTAATGAGGAAACTTCAATTCTGTCCTTCATGGAGTCTGTCCAGAACATGTTTCTGCCCAAATGGTCGATAGCGATGCCTTCAGGACTGCTGAGATCTGACACAAAAATCAGTATGAAAATCAGTGTAATCAGAAAAATCAAAACTGATCTTTTGTGATCCACAGAAGATGGTGAATAAGTATGGAACGATGCAATGAGTCATTTTTGGATGAACTATTGGTTAAAACTGACTCTACCTGATTTAATGATGTGGACGGGTTCTCCTCCTTGTAGACTAGCTTTGCTAATGGCAGGTGTGCTGATGTCTGTCCAATACACCATCTTCTCCACACAGTCAAAAGCAATTCCAATCACCACTTTCTCCTGCAAAAACAATAGAAAAGACTCACAAACATGCATGGGACTGTTTAAGATGATGACAGCCGCCTTCAGGCATTAAATCTGTCTGTCTGTGACTGGCTGTCTAGACAAGACATGAAACCACACATCCAGAATCTGAGTGAGTCAAATGACTCTCAGGCCAGTTTTGTTACTAAAGCATGGTTGAATTTTCCCTTGGTTAATAAGCTTCACTGATGTTAGTCATTACAGTAAATGTTAGCATGTGAGCAGTAAATAAGAGCAGATGGGATGAAAATTCATTCAGATTTATGATTTCCCACAGTACTGCACACAATAGACCTAAAAGTCCATTTCAGGAGTCCATAGATGAAAATATAAACCACGTGCATATGCTGCATGTCTAGCTAAACACAATCAATTGGCAATAGAATTAGAAATAGTGAGAAACCATAATATTTACCATTGAAAAGTTTTGGGTCGGAAATAATTTTTTGAAAGAATCAAATCAAAAGTGACAGTAAAGACATTTATAATGCTACAAAAGATTTATATTTCAAAATAATGTTGTTCTTTTGAACTTTGTTCATCAAAGAATCCTGAAAAATAAAATGTATCACAGTTTCCACAAAAATATGAAGCAGCACAACTGTTTTCAACATTGATGATAATCAGAAATGTTTCTCGAGCAGCAAATCAGCATATTAGAATGATTTCTGAAGATCATGTGACACTGAAGACTGGAGTAATGATGCTGAAAATTCAGCTTTGAATCACAGAAATAAATGACACTTTAAAGTATATTTACTTAGAAAACAGTTATTTTAAATAGTAAAAATATTTCACAGTTTTTACTGTATTTTTGACCATGCAAATGCAGCCCTGGTGAGCAGAAGCTACTTCTTTCAAAAACATTAAAATTTTTTACATTTTTATACTTAAGTAACAGTTTAGTCGAGGGCGTCTGGAGAAAACACGTGTTAACATCATTGTCTTTTGTAAATATTCTGCTGTGTTTCTCCTGGAATCCTTCCTCACATTCTTACGGTTAAAGGCCGATGGAGGTTATGTAATCAGCAGAGGCAGCATATGGCTCTGATAAACACAATTTCTCTCACACTAATATTTCCAAGAAAAACAAAGTTAAGCAATCCTAAAATTCCCCAGCGAGCCCCCAGCAGTTCTCTGGCTCGGTGTTATAAACAATTTAACCGAGAGAGATGAACTACGAGCAGAACACAAACCGCAATGACATGTGTGCTCTGTAGTTACTAACATTACTAAACAGGCTCTGCATTAATGCATTCCAGAGCTTCAAAACAGCAGGGAATAAATCAGAGCAAAGACCTCTGGATGAATCTACAGAGCATAACACAATTTTGTGAGTGATTCGGCCTAAGACACTTCATAACAATTCATAACCAACACAAGTATGTGTTGCACTTTCGTGCATTAGTGTAAATTATCTTTACCGGGAGGTGCAGTGCAGTCTTGGCTTCGTTCTTCTTCAGGTTGTGACCTTCCAGAGGAATATACTCAATCTTCCCGCTCTGGGCGAAGAGGATTTGACTACCAGGAGGCAAAGGACTGACGTTAGGATCGGGTGTCGGTCTAATGGGGCCGGGCACATCATGACCAGGACCTGAAGAACAGAAGATGCATGAATATAAATGACTTCATTTATAATAAACTCATATGACTATGTCAATTCACCACCTCCATGTAAAGTAAAATGGTCAATGGCTATAAAAACCTATTAGTGAATTACGGTACAAAACTTGGCATTGTCATATGTTGTTAAGTAAGTGTAGTTACATCAGCTGTGGCAGTGGCTTTGTTCCAAAACCTAATGAGCTGTCTATGTAGGTACTGTATTTTACAGCAGTGTTTCTGAACTGACAGGCCTCAGCACACTTCCAAGGGCCGCAAGATGGCTTAACATGATTTAAAATAAGACTAAACAAGCTTTAAAATAAACTAAAACCGTTTTTAGATGTAAGCTGACATCATATTTCTTACTTTAATTAATTCCCTCAACAACAGCCATTTTTTTTAAAGAAACAGGATTCTCATTGTATTGAAAAATGTAGACACATGAAAGAATTTTAAAAGTGTCGTTTCTAGACCTGGAAAAGTCATGGAAATTTTTGAAATGATAAGTTTTTCAAGTGGTGTCAAAGTTTAAAATATTTTAATTGGGTAAATTGGTATTAGTGAGTTGATTAAAAAATCATTAAAAAAAACCCTGGAATCATAAATGACAAGATATGTAATGTAAATTCATAGGTAGTAAAGTGTAAACCCTGAAAAACAATAAGTTCATTTAATCTTTTGGAATTTAGTTGTTTTAATTAATTATAATACATTTTTTAAATTATCTTAATATATTACCACTTCTAGTTTCTGTGAATATTTATAATATTAACAGAATATATATATATATATATACATACATAACATCAGAGGTTCACATCAGAGATTATTTTGATTGCTTTGGGACTATCACCACCACTGTGTTTTATGAAAGTTAAAGTTATAGAAAACTATATCCACACTTGTGCTGGACCACGAACTCGGACAGAGTGAAGACGGTTGGCTGCAGGTGAGTGGCTTCTCTCTGGGCATTTAGTAGCTGACACACACACACACACACTTCCATCCAAGCATTTTGGTTAGGACTGACTCCCACGTTGATTGCATCACGTAGGGAAAGTTATTGGTGTTACGATAGATGATCAAAAATTAAAACCCCTGTTAGTTGTTCAGTTTGTTTCATCAGGAGTATCGTTTGTCGTAACACACTGAAGACAGGAGTAATGATGCTGAAAATTCAGCTTTGATCACAGCAATCAGTTACATTTTACAATAGATTCACATACACTGCTGTTCAAAAGTTTGGGTTTAGTAAGATTTGTAATGTGTTTTAACGGAGTCTCTTCTGTTCATCAAGGCTGCATTTATTTGATCAGAAATACAGAAAAGAAACAGTAATATTGTGAAATATTATTACCATTTAAAATAATGGTTTTCTATTTTAATATATTGTAAAATGTAATTTATTTCTGTGATGCGCAGCTGAATTTTCAGCATCATTACTCCAGTCTTCAGTGTCACATGATCTTCAGAAATCATAATAATATGCTGATTTATTATCAGTGCTGGAAACTGTTGTGCTGCTTAATATGTTTTGGATATTTTTCCTGTGATACTTTTTTCAGGATTCTTTGATTAATAAAAAGTTTAAAAAAGAACAGCATTTAGACTTATATTGTCTAAGACTTGTATTGTTAGAAAAGATTTCTATTTTGAATAAATGCTGTTCTTTTTAACTTTTTATATGCATTTTATGTGTAAATGCATTTTAGACGCTTATATTATGCTCGTGCCCCATCCATGCAATGAATGCACGCTATTGAATGATGTTTTTTTTCTTTTTCTTTTAGAACATTGAAACTGCTCAGGTAATTTCACTGGTAGGATATGACACATATTCATGTATTAAACTCCTCGTAACTCGCAAACTCCCCGTGATAGCGCGAATCTAATTCTGATTGGGTGGGCAAGACAGTCATTTGGGTGGGCTCAACCCACCCCTGCCCATGTCTGTAGCCGCCCCTGGTCTGCTGTCTTATAAAGCAGTCGTCTCTGTAGACAACAAAGCAGCTGACTGGGTTTCAGAACAGAGTCTTGATGAGTAAAGCATGTGTAGGACTCACACTCAGGAAAGCGTCCGGGTCCTGTTCGTGTCCCAGAGATCTCCAGCCCATCGCGGTCCACGCACCAGCACTGTCCAATGCTGGCATGACACTGCATGGGGTCGTACTCGCCCTGGGCGTCACACGTCGGCACAAACTGACCGGGCACAGGACGGGGGCCGCGGGGCCCAGCGCCCAGAACGCTCTCCCTATGCAGCTGGCAGCGCGTCTTCTCACGTTCTGCACGGATACAAATACACACACAGTTAACCCTATAAAGCCTGTATCCTACTGTATCATATTTGATGTGCAAACTTTGCTGTTAAACCTGTCGCACACAATCATGCCTTCTGTCTCTGATTGATAGTTTAGAGTTTTAGTATAATTGTACAAACGTCCACCTTCAGCTCATGCTTCACGTGTCTTTTTGCTGTCAAAACTTTACTGATTTAATAAGGTAAATGTAAGAATAACTATTGATATTGTTAGTAATATTTCAAGATGAACACTTGCTGGACTGAAGCAGCTTCACTCGATTCTCCATGAAAAGTCATTTTAAAATCTGAGTCTCAAATATGATCATCAAGATTTTGAGGAGCGTTTATTTGTTCATCTCTCAGTCATCATTGGATTGCATTGCATTATATGCTTGGATCGTTTAAATCTCATCTTACTAAGACATATTATTGGAGATACAGAGCAACGACGATATTTAGATCATTTTATGTAAGTATCTGCTGTACTGTTATAAAGATCTCATTGATTCACATTACACTTTGTGGTCATATAAATATTAGCATGTTCACCAAAATTGCATGCAGAATCACTGAAAAAAAATGAGCTGTTTTTTCCTTCATATTCTCACTCTATCAGACTATATGAGCCATAAAAGCCTGAAGAATCAAATATGATACTCAACAAAATATGCAAACTTTTTTTTTATAGATTTTTTACAAATATTTTGTCTAAAGGTTCAATAATATGTTCCATTAAAAAAAAAAATCAAACTGTTCGTTCATATGCTTTAGGCTTTTTTTTTCATATGCATAGGCTTTACATGGTTAAAAAGCACATAAACCTGTTATTAGTATGCATTTATTGCATACCTGCTCATGCTAATGTATTTTACACAGCCAGACTTTTTTACAGTTTAGAGATTGTCTGGCTAACATGAAAAGCGACTGACCCACATGTATGTGAAAAGTATTTGCAAAGTCAACCAGCAGAGGCTGAATGCTAAAGTTAACCAGTCAAACCTTGACCCCTCAGCTTATGCAGACTGTCAACAGATCCAGGATCAAACTTCATCGCTTTCTGAGAATTTCCAGTGTTTCCACTGAAAATCAATCAATGCTACAGCTCTGGGTTTAAATCTGAGACAGATATGCTCATGTGAGCTGCTGCGGTACATTACATCAGTCCCTGGAAAGCAAATCAGGTTCCAACAACAAAACTCAACTCTCTGCACACTAATCAATCCCATTACTACCACAATCATGACAGCGCTCATAATCGACATGACACACCGAAGACAAACATGCCTCAGGCAATACAGGCTGCTCAAACTAGACTTTAAAACATGAAAAATTATTTTGGTCTGAACCAGAATATGATGTCATGCTCCACGGTTTCTGTTTCTTTTCTTTTTTCTTTGCATAAAAATAAATTACGTTTTGCATAAAAATGAGTGCTATATTTAAAACAAACTTCATTTAGAGAGTATTTTATTGTGTAGAATGTCTCAGATTTGGCTTTTTTTCTCTGCTTTTTTTGTGTTGTTCCAATACAAACAAAAGAAATAATCATGAGAATAACAAAGCATTTGTAATTGCAACAATTTTCTGGGAGAAAGAGTGCATTATCTGACAGAAATGCAGGACTGCCAATATTTCTGTCCATGACTGTATATATATAACATCAAATATCACGGCAAAATCAGATAAAAAGAGATAAGAAATTATTTTTCAGACACACTTAATTTAGAAGTTTTTTTTTAAATTTTTAAAAATACTATTCAAAGAGGAATATACTGTAAATTTGAAGTGTTTAGATTTAAAAAATTTACATGGAATAATGAATTTTTTTTTATATATATTTTTGCAAAAATTTTATTGTTATACTCACCAAGACTTAATTTATTTGATCCAAACACAGTAAAAAACTGTATTTGTTTTTTCCTTTTTTTTTAACTGTTTTTAATTTGAATGTATTTGAATGTGTAATTTATTCCTGTGATGCAAAGTTGTTTTAAGGAGAACACTACAACATATATGACCTTCAAGCTCCGAAACATGGACTAAAAGTCATTAAATTCAACAATATTGATTTCATGGGGCTAAAACTCCAAAGCAACTGGTCAGTTCCCAGCAGACACGCAGCTGTCGAGCCGCTATTCATGCTGGCAGAGTTAAGCCTTGACATAAATCAGGGGTCAGGAGGTCAGGTCATGTTGTATTATTTAAAGAGTCGAGGGTAGTCTGTCATTAGAACGACTGATACGGTTTGTGGCATGAACTGTGTGCAAAAAGGTTCCTAAGTAACAGCATAATGTGCTGGAGTCTACTTAAAACCTTGTAATACTGTAGGGTTTCTGAAGGCTGGATGCTTATGCAATGATGCACAAATATTCTCCAAACCACACTGTCCAAAAACCAAATGAAATTCTCCAAATATGTCAGAAATGGCTTTAGTGGTATTTACCAGAACTATGAATAAACCAGCAAAGCTGTTTGTGAATGTTATGGGTCTGAGTAAATGAGAAGAATGAGCACAGTTACAAAACCAAAAGATACAACTGATGTTCATTTACAGCTGAAGTCTACCTGTAGAGCAGTGGAAACCATCGCCATAGAAATCAGGGTTACACTGACAGGTGAAAGATCCAGGTGTGTTGAAGCAGACGGCATTTTCATGACACTGATTCACCTGACACTCGTCTATGTCTGAAAGAGAGAAAAAGACAAACAAAACATACCAATTAAATTTAAAAAAATATTTTGCAAAGAATTATGTCAAATGTTTTCAAAATAAGAAAATCTCACTAATATATATTAACGTTTAGCAAAAAAAATATATGCAAAATGCTTTACATTTTATTTTCTACAGCTGTTTCTGATTTTCTAATGTCATTCGCAGTGCTTTGTATGATGGAAAGAAAGAAAATAAATTACATTTTCCTTAGAGAAGATTTTCAACAAGATTTTTTTTTTTTTTTGCATTTAAATGACAATTAAGCACAGTTAAATGTTTAATACATTTAATACATAAATTTAAATGATAGAAAGTAAATAAATAAATTAAATAATTAAATAATAAATTTATACTATTTAAATAATAAATACATTTAAGTATTAAAGGGGTCCTATTATGCTCTTTTACAAAGTCCGACATAGTGATAACACTTGTTGCCTTCTCTAGTGCAGCTCAACCAGGTCTCGTCCCATTCGTCGATATTTGTGATATCACAAATCCTGGAAAATATGCGTTGTAGTCCAAACGAGTCGTTCGTTGTAGTTTTTGAAAAGTGATTTCTGTTTAATAAAATATCTCCTTTTGAAGTGGACTTTGAGCTTTGTAACTTTGCAGATCTTTTTTATGCTCAAAAAGCAACTTTACAGACTAACTAAAGTTGAAAAAGTGAAAACGCATAATAGGACCCCTTTAAACAAATGTATTACATTTAAATAATAAATCAAACTAAATATTAATGAAGTTAAATGTGTAAGTAAAGCAAGTGCAAAAATACTGAAAAATGAATGAGTTGTGCAGGAGTGATGGGAAACAGAAATGAAAGCTGATCACAACTGTGTGTCTGTTTTCCCTCTCGGCTAATAATCAGACTGAGGTCAAATCCATTAACATCATGTCAAATCATTTACAGCCAATGTAAAGTGCTCAGCCACATATTTTTCTGATAACTACTGAAGATTTGCAGATGTAAAACATCTTGCATTTACAGTAGTGGCTGACCAATAGGAGTTTTTAATGGCCAATATACAAATGCAATTAAATAATAACAAAAATGGCTGTATTCAAATTAAATTAAAATTTAAATATTAATATTAAAAATATCCATTGACCAGACTGTTGAATTGAAACTAGGCAGAATGACTGCTTCTATTAATCAATCAGGAAAATTAATTAGCCAATAATGACCAAATAAATAATAATAAATTAGCCTGGTGGACATTAAAAGGATAGTTCACCCAAAAATGAAAATTTGATGTTTGAACCATTGACACTCCTAATTGAGATTGTAGATAGAGTGTCAATGGTCCATTTGAGAGATAGGTGGCGGTAATGCACTTATAAGTCTGCGATCCGCCGTAAAGCAAGAAGTAGAAGAAGACGCGTCTGAGAACGTCCGGCAGGCAGGTGCAGATGTAGGACGATCCTCCGGTGTAGCTGCAGCGAGCGCGTTCAGGGACGTCACAGTCATGAGTGCCGATGCGACACGGGTCCACGGGACGCTGCACCTCTACAACACAGCACAACCGATTAAATAACATGATTAAATAAAACCATTACCATTATAATCTAACTGATGTCATACACAAGAGTCTGAATATCCCTGCAGCAATGATACATCACAAAAGAGATAAAACGGTTGAAGTGGCTGATCGACAAGAGACTGATTCGCAAGCACGACTGGAGCAGGACGTTTCTCAGTGGTAAGTGTCAAGTGTTAACAAGTTTGTGGTAATTATAAGATGTGATGAAACAAATTTACTCTCACAGCGTAGGATACAGCGTCTTCTCGACATGATGTTAACCACATGGAAATTTTACTGTTCGTGGGCGGGCAAGTTGGCAACATAGAACGTAGGCAGACATTATGCAAATGTGTTATAGCAGATAAACATCAAATTTTCATTTTTGGGTGAACTATCCCTTTAAAATGGTGTGTATTCGTCTAATAAATCGTATAAATGAAAGCATGTCTGCGATAGAGCGGTAGAGACCCACCCTGACAGCTGTGCACTGCATGAAAGGTAATATTCGAAAAGGCATAATAGGGGCACTTTAATAAATATATTTAATACATACATGTATTAAAATAACATTCTACATTTATTAAATTTCAATGTCAAATATTCATTAAATTTAAATAATTAATACATTTAGAAATTAAATAATTGTATTACGTTTAAATAATAAATATGCTGACTGAAATTAGAAATAATGTGCTTCAAATGAGCCATGAGGGAATTTCTCCTAGGGTCTTTTTTTTCTTAGCAACATTATAGGCCAGAGATTTTGTCTCAAATCTCCATTTGCTTTCCATTTAATCTCAATCGTGACTTGGAAAAGCAACTGAGATCTTAAAGATCTTTTTCTTACTGAAGACCAGACTAAACAAGGAGCGTGATGTCAGTTTCTAAACTTCTCCCATGAAAATGAAGTCTTATGGTTTCTTTAGATTTTAGACATTTTATGATGGAAACCGACAGTATTTAATTGAATCATCTAAATGGCAGGGGGATTTTGTCAACAAATAACGGTGACGAATACAAGCAGACATAAACACATAGTGACTCATGAGACTCTGACGTACCAACACACGTCTGTCCGTCGCTGGCGAACTGACTGAAATTAGAAATAATGTGCTTCAAATGAGCCATGAGGGAATTTCTCCTAGGGTCTTTTTTTTCTTAGCAACATTATAGGCCAGAGATTTTGTCTCAAATCTCCATTTGCTTTCCATTTAATCTCAATCGTGACTTGGAAAAGCAACTGAGATCTTAAAGATCTTTTTCTTACTGAAGACCAGACTAAACAAGGAGCGTGATGTCAGTTTCTAAACTTCTCCCATGAAAATGAAGTCTTATGGTTTCTTTAGATTTTAGACATTTTATGATGGAAACCGACAGTATTTAATTGAATCATCTAAATGGCAGGGGGATTTTGTCAACAAATAACGGTGACGAATACAAGCAGACATAAACACATAGTGACTCATGAGACTCTGACGTACCAACACACGTCTGTCCGTCGCTGGCGAACTGGAATCCGTCCCGACACTCGCAGCGAAACGTTCCCGGGTGATTATTGCAGACGGCGTTCGGCCCGCAGATCTGAGGGGTTTCCCTGCACTCATCGATGTCTGATGAGAAAAGAGAAGAAGACCAATCCTGAGGATTTCCACAAGCGTTTTCAGACAGAGACGAACTGCTTTAATGCAATTGTAAACAAAAAGACTTCCTCAGTCACATTCCCATGGATTACTAACGACTCTCATAATTACAGCTTTTTAAGATAACATCTTTCCAATTTATGTGTAATTTCCTTTAAGCATCAAGGGATGGGTCACATCCTTAGAGGTCTAGGGGAATATTCAGACCATTTTGACGTCTGATTAGAAGATTTCTTTGGAAACGACCCCCTTAGGAAACTGTACTTTCATGGACAAAAATCGATTTCCCTTCAGAAGGAAGCAGATTAGTGGCCTTTTTAAGAGGGTAATGAAATAGGATATGGTTTTAATTGCAATGATGGACTGAGGATTGATTTAATTATGCAAAATATCTAATGGTACCAGAGCAAGCGCGTCCATCTCCAGTAAAGCCCGCGGCACATTCGCATGTGAACTGGTTTCCTTGTCCGGGTTTGCAGACGGCATTAGTGTCGCAGCCGTGTCTGCCAGTGAAGCAGGCGTTTTCTTCCGTTTGTCCACCTGCAGATGTGGTATAAGAACCCGTTATTACTTCCCCAGATGATGAAAATACATTAAAAGAAAAATTAGTGCTGCACGATAATGGTTGAAGTATGGAAGAACACTTAAGCTGCAGAATAAAAAGAATAACAAAAGGAATTGCAATTTAAAAAAAAAAACAATTCAGAGTTCTTTCTCAAAATTGTGAGTTTATCTTGTAATTCTAAATGTACTTCTTGCAACTCTGACTTTTTTCCTCACAATTCTGGGTTGATATCTTGCAATTCTGAGTTTATATAACACAATTGAGAGTTTATATCTCCCAGTTGAGTTTATAACTCACAATTCTGAGTTTATGTCTCACAATTCTGGTTCATGGTTGCCAGATTGGGAAGAGTAAGTAAAACTCTTGGCAGAAAAATGTATCAATTTAACATCTGGCAACTGCAAGCATGAAAGCTCGTGGAGGATTATTACCAATGCACGATAATGCAAATGTCAATTGAAACATTTCCAGGATAAATAAGTCAAATTATGTTTCATTAATTGAGAGAAGCAGAAATCGTGGTCATCATTAAAATACTATTCATCGTGCAGCCCTAGGGAAAATATTTTTCCAGATCTGCCCTCACCGTTGACGTCTCCAATCTTGTTAGTCATGGCGTAACGCAAGAGCTGTTCGCCCATATCGTACATGACGAACACTTGGTCGACGCTGAGCATCTGTGTGGACGGCACAGCTCTGACAGCTTCATCGTGCTGGCAGCCCCGAAAAGTGATGGTCTCTTTGAATTTGTAGCTTCGGCTTTGGGTCGAACCGTCCTGTAGATTGATCACATACTCCCGTGTGGATGAAGCGGTGATCACTGACAGAAGAGACACACATGAGTCAATAGGTTTCATAATAGGATTTAAATGCAAAGCATGATACTTTATATGCATACTTTCTGCATCCTCATGCATGTTTTATCATGCATACTGATGCATGTTTTATTATACATACTCATGCCTGTTTTATTATACATACTCATGCCTGTTTTATTATGTATACTCATACATACTCATGCATATTTTATTATCCATACTAATGCATACTAATGCATGTTTTATCATTTGTACTCACACATATTCATGCATGTTTTATAATCCATCCTTATGCATGTTTTATTATGCATACTCTTACATACTCATGCATGTTTTATCATACATACACATATGCACACATTTTATAATGCATACTCATACAAAGAAATAATGCATGTTTTATGATGAATACATACATGTTTTACAATGCATACTTATGCATGTTGTATTATGAATACTCATACATACTCATATATATTTTATAATGCATATTCATATATACTCAAGCATGTTTTATTATGCATATCCATACATACTCATGCATGCTTTATCATCCATAATCATACATACTCCTGCATGTTTTATGATGCATACACATACATACTTAGACATGTTTTATAATGCATACATATGCATGTACTATAATGAATACGCCTACGTGCTCATATATATTTTATAATACATATTTATATATACTCAAGTATGTTTTATGATGCATATGCATACATACTATGCATGTTTTATAATGCATTCTTATGCATGTTTTATTATGCATCCTCATACATACTCATGCATGTTTTATAATGCATACTCATACATACTCATGCATGTTTTATGATGAATACTCATACATACACATACATGTTTTATAATGCATACTTATGCATGTTTTATTATGCATCCTCATACATACTCATATATATTTTATAATGCATATTCATATATACTCAAGCATGTTTTATGATGCATATGCATACATACTATGCATGGTTTATAATGCATTCTTATGCATGTTTTATTATGCATCCTCATACATACTCATATATATTTTATAATGCATATTCATATATACTCAAGCATGTTTTATGATGCATATGCATACATACTATGCATGGTTTATAATGCATTCTTATGCATGTTTTATTATGCATCCTCATACATACTCATATATATTTTATAATGCATATTCATATATACTCAAGCATGTTTTATGATGCATATGCATACATACTATGCATGGTTTATAATGCATTCTTATGCATGTTTTATTATGCATCCTCATACATACTCATGCATGTTTTATAATGCATACTCATACATACTCATGCATGTTTTATGATGAATACTCATACATACACATACATGTTTTATAATGCATACTTATGCATGTTTTATAATGAATACTCATACATACTCATATATATTTTATAATGCATATTCATATATACTCAAGCATGTTTTATGATGCATATGCATACATACTGTGCATGTTTTATAATGCATTCTTATGCATGTATTATTATGCATACACATGCATGCTTTATCATCCATTCTCATACATACTCATACATGTTTTATAATGCACACTCATGCATAATCATGCATGTTTTATTCTTGCATACATTGTTGTTTTATTATGCATACTCGTTATTGTTTTATCATGCATACTCATTATTGTTTTATCATACAAACTCATTATTGTTTTATGTGAGAATATGATGGTTTGACTCACAGTTGGTGCTGTACTGGTAGATCTCTGTGTAGGGGTCGATCTGAACTGCGGCTCCCCGAGGAACCTCAGGAATTTTTCCTTCAAGTCTGGTGTCAACCATCAGGTGGTCGTGCTCATCAATGCCTTTGAACTCCTGAGAGATGGTCAACCGTTCCCCGCCCGGCTGGAAGGTCACATCAGCCTGACGTTTGAACTCTCCGCCTGACAGACAGGTGAAAGAGGGAGTGTGAGGCTGGATTTCCATCAAACAAACTGTAACACTGCACAGCAAACAACTCAAACTGATGCGTCAAAGCAGACACACATTGTTTTTAAAAGGATGGTTTGTTGCAAGAAATACTTGCTCTATTCTGGCTCTTTCTGCACCCTCACAACCCATCTAACAGCTTCCTATACATCAATCACTCCTTCATTAAATGTTTAAGCACTTTTACACCCAAATAACTGCTGTGAAAATTGTTCACATCTAATCTTACGACTGCAATGCATTTATGATTAAAGCAAGAGAAAAAAGTATTGCAGGATTTTATCAATTGCCAATTGATTGGATGGTGAAAATACTCTAAAAAATCTCTATATGACAGCTGGTTTAGAAAAAAGGGGGACTGAAATACCAAAGAAAAGTATTACTAACACTACTATACAGCCAGTAGTGAATGTTTTCATCTGTATATGTCATAATAGAAAATAAGAGGATAAACGATGACGATTCAGGAAATACTGAACTATGAAAGAAATACATCTAGCTATCCAAATCAGTTTTTTTTAATGCTTTAGATGCTATGGACCACCAATCCTAAAATATATAGGCATCTTTATACATATTTATCATTTATATTATAAATATGTATTAAAAATTTGGTAAATATTTTGATTCAACTCACTATAGTACTGTACTGTTAAGATGATTTATTTATTGCATTTATTTTAATCCATTTTTAAATGTATTTATTAAGTTTAACCTTGTTTTTGTTTATTTTTACGTTTTTTTACCGCATTTTTTAACCCCGATCTAAATCAATGTTGTTTTAGTATCATTGAGATACTATTATATAGTTTTTATTAATATTTAGATGTTTGATTAATAGTTTTTATTTTTATATTTTAAGTTTGAGTAATTTTGTTGTGTGCTTTTGTCTTTTTTAGCAGTTTTTGTTACTTTTATATATGTCTACAGCATATATTTTTATTGATTTTATTTCAGTTGTAGTTTTAGTTATTTTACTGCATCGAGTTAAACTAAATTAAAATGAGAAATGCTGCCTTGACAGCTAGATGAAATAAGCTTTTTATATATTTTTTTCATTGTAATATGTTTCAGTTAACGTTATTTTGTTTCAAATAATTGTTTTAGGGGAAAAAAAACAGGTACGTCCGAGGTTGCTCAGTCTGCGCCATGTCCAAGACCCCTCGTCACCTCCCCGTAGGCAAGCTAGTGCCCCTGCCGATTCCCCATCGACCCTGGTCTCACCTGGGAATCGATTTTGTGACTGACTTACCCAACTCCGATGGGAATACCTGCATCTTGGTGGTCGTAGATCGGTTTTCCAAAGCCTGTAAGCTAATCCCCCTCCCAGGACTTCCAACCGCTCTCGACACTGCAGAAAGTTTATTCACTCACGTCTTCAGAAACTTCGGAGTCCCCGAGGATGTAGTCTCTGACAGGGGACCGCAGTTTATCTCCCACGTGTGGAGGGCATTCTTCCAACTACTAGGGGTCACGGTCAATTTATCCTCAGGCTACCATCCCCAGACAAATGGCCAGAAACTCTCATAAAATGTTCCATTATTCTTCTATAGTATTATACTGAACTGACCGACAACTTCAGTGATTATAAAAGAAGCGCTCTTTATGTGTGATTCAGTCGCAAATTGAAGAAAAGTTTGTTTTTCAAGTCACTTTGTGACTTTTCTTACTTCACACAAGAAAAGAGCAAAACTCTGACGAAATTAGATTTCTTGATGATTTGATATTTTATAATAGTGGTTTTATAATTTCAAAATATAAAGCAACAAGTAGAAATGAATGTCTTATAAGCCATTAAGTGTTCCTCTGCTGCCATCTGCTGGTTATAGTGGTGATTTAACGTATTTTTATTTTTATTTTACACAAGTGTTTGTTTAAAGTATATTTTGGTCATCCCATTAAAAATAACATTCAAATTGGATATTGTAGAGCTTTAAAGTGCTGGAAATAGTTGTGTGAAGTGCTTGAAAGTAATTGAAAAGTGCTTGAATTGTACAAACCCTGAACACATTCAACTATTTCTGCCATGGTTATAGTTAACTGCTCACAAAATTTAGTCGCACCGGCAGAAAAAATGGTTGCAAAATGCGACTATTTGGTCGCAGTCTGGAGCTCTGTATGAAATTGCAGAAAATCTCACCGATGATGCTGAAGCCGTTCTTGAAGCTCGGCTGCTGAAGTGCAAACGTCCAGCCTATGATTCCTCCGACAGACGACAGTGGCTGCAGAGAGAAGCCGACGATCGGGGGAATGGCGCTGATGGCCACATATGCTCTGCCGTCATTCACCACCACATACGAGTGGAGATCGTTACTGGCGAAGTCCACGGGCACCGGCGAGTTTCCCACGAACACCCTGCCGCTCACTTTACCGTTCATCCTCTGAGGAACACCTGTGAAAGACACCATTCAGAATCCAATCTCCTGAGAAAAGCCACAGGTACAATGACTTCTAAATTAGACATGATTATAACTGTGGCTTTTCTCAGGACCCAACACAGTACCAAAACTCTTTATTCTATGAAAGTAACAAAAATTTAATTTAACAGATTTCAAACATGAAATCTATTAATATTACCATAATTGGCTTGGGCTCAACAATATGATTAAGGTAAGACAGACTGAAGATGGACAACAGCAGATGTGTGTTTACCAGCTCAACATGGAACATGTATTAATTTTAGTCATATTCAAATAACACTTAATTTTTTTGTCCCGCTATACGATTGAGACAGTCTTTGAGGTCAACAACAAATTCAATGTGAAACATTGTTTATTCTAATAAAAGGTTTTGGGAGTTGATGGGAAGCTACTAATTAATTTAATCAGAAAACGTAAATTTATATGTAAATATTTAACATAATTATAAATATTTGGTTTATTAAAAAAGGTTTAATACAAACAAGCGATTTAAAAAAATCATTAAAAAATTTAAAATAAATACATATTTTTTTAAATAATAAGAAATAACAATAAAACAACCAAAAATATATTTTTTATGTATGTCATGAGAAGTCTATTAGACTAAATATTGTGCATTTTATTATTTGCACTATATATATACTGTACACACACACACATATATATATATATTTATATGTATATACTATATATACTTTTGAAATCATAAAAACTAACCATATAAATATTTGGTTTATTAAAAAAGGTTTAATACAAACAAGCGATTTAAAAAAATCATTAAAAAATTTAAAATAAATACATATTTTTTTAAATAATAAGAAATAACAATAAAACAACCAAAAATATATTTTTTATGTATGTCATGAGAAGTCTATTAGACTAAATATTGTGCATTTTATTATTTGCACTATATATATACTGTACACACACACACACATATATATATATATTTATATGTATATACTATATATACTTTTGAAATCATAAAAACTAACAATTTTTTTATCTTCAAGTCATGTGACCATTAATGTGTTTCTAAATGTATCTATTATTTACTATATTTATTATTATTTATTATTTTTCTCTGCTGTCAGTGATCATGACCCACCATTAGAAAACACTTCTATAAAAGAAATGAAACCAGCAACAACTGAAGTCCATTATAGAGGCATTACCGTCAGATACACACTGAACTCCATTGCCGTAGTATCCAGGTTCACACTGGCAGCATCGTCCGCTCGGATAATTCCTACATTCGCCAAATTTGGAGCATTTCTGTCCACCACATTCACCAGAGTTGTATGTAAATACTGTATGCAAAGAACAAGACCAAAAAAAGAGATCGTTTTGGCTCAAGAAAAGTACAAAGTTGTTCATTACTGTAGTAAATAAAGCACTCATGCTGACCCTCAACCTCGATGTTGTCTTCATTTTCGATTTCCACGACCGTCGGTCGCTCAGGCCTGAACTGAACCGTGTGCACCTGGATGGGTGGAGGGTGTTCTGGACGATGGTAAACTCCATCCAGGTCAGGATACACCGGGTGTTGATGGCTGTGGCTTCCTGTGCTCCTGTGCTGCTGGGAATCCAAAGGAAAATCCGCCACTTCTCCAGGAGCGACGTCTGTGAAGTGAGGGAACGTCCCTATTTCATACACCCACACGCCACGCTTTCCAGAGTTAGTCTGCCTGGAAAAGACATCCAACAGCATTATGGGAAAACACGGTCAAAGTACACTGACACAAAAACGTCATTAGTTCACCTGAAACTTATTTGTTGCTCCAAACCACTATGCTGTTAATTTCCGTGGAACATAATTGTGAACTATATTTACATATTACATTTTCTTTACGACAAAAATTCATAGTGACTGCATCTGTCAAGCTTCAAAAAAGTACAAGAAGTAATCAATATAAGTAGCCAAACTGCAAAAAAATTATTTTTCACATTTAGTATTTTGTCATGTTTTGTCTTCCATTATAAATATCTAAAAATTATTAAATCAAGATTTAAGAACATTTACTTGAGAAGGAAAATGACTTCAGATATCAAGTCTTATGTATGTATCAAAAATGAATCAAAATTAAGTGAATATATGCTTAAAAATCTATTTAAAAATATAAAATCTATTTTATCTTATTTATCAAGCTCACTTCATTTTAATACATTTTTCAGAAAACAAGATTTAATATCTTAAGTCATTTTGCTTGTCCAATAAATATATCTGGACTGTTTATATAAAATACATTTTTTTGCAGAAAATATTTTAGATCAAAAAGGTTTTAGTCCATTTATTTTGCTGTCCTAAATATACTTTATTATTTGTAATAAGCATTCATAAATCAATAAGAACTTTCTTAAATCAAGATGCATTAATTTGTTAAGCAAAAATACTTAAGATATTAAGTTTTGTTTTCAGGAAAATGTATCAAAAAAATTAAGTGAGTATATTCTTAAAGCGAGAAGAAATATCTGTTAATGGCGTAATAAAAATAAACATGTTTTTGAATTAAGTATATTAAGCATAAACTCACTTAATTTTGATAAATTTTTTCAGCAAACAAGACTTAATATCTTAAGTATTTTTGCTTAATAAGTAAGTGTATCTTAGTTTAAAGTGTCCCTATTATGCATTTCAAATATGCAATATGCATTCTTATGCATTTCAAATATTGCCTTTCATGCAGTGTGTAATGTAGCTGTATATGAATGTAAACGATCTGCAAAGCTGTAAAGCCGAAAGTGCACGATAAATAAAATTATTGTCTCCCAAAAGAAAGAATCGACTCTGAGCAGCCGAAACGAGCAGTCAGTAATTGGAATCCCTCTTCGGTAACACATTTGCATAATGCCCGTCTATGTTCTACGTTGGCCGGCCGTGAACAACTTGACCCCGCCCTCAAACTCTGTATTTTGTTCGTTTGGTAAACATCAAGTCGAGAAGACGCTGTGGAAGTAAATTTGGTTTGGAATGATGATGCTGCAAAGAATCAGTGGTTAAAATTAATTTTCTCCACTGTATCACAGCAGAACAACCCCAATCTTTTTTTTTTTTGTCATTTTACTGACGACTGCTTCTCTAATCTCGGGGAGTTCAACGCGGGATTCACAAACACTTGCTCTTGAAAGATGAATCCGTACCCAGTTTATTTGGACCACCTGACTCCACTGAATCACAATCTGAGAGTATGGTAAATAATAGATTATTATATTTTCTATCAAGCGTTCAAAATACAGAACTATTGCAATGGGTGTATCGTCTCTGACACTCGCTGTACACGGTAGACCAATCACAACAGACCGGGCCATCTGACCAATCAGAGCAGAGCAGGCTCATGGAAAGGAGGGGTTTAGAGAGACTGAATCTCAGAACTGCTTCGAACGAATCGTTTGAGAATCATTGATAACTGAGGTGATATTAAATGCATATTTTGAGAAAACAAAAGCATTTTTTTTTTTTTTTACCTTATATGCATGTAAAACTATTGTAGGAGACTCACAAAACAATATCAGGAACCTTAAAAATGGCATAATAGGGGCACTTTAAGAATTGTCAGATATTTGTAATGGAAAACAAGACAAAAACACAAGATCAATAAAATATTTTTTTGCAGTTCATTCGACTCATATGTTATAATGCATTGCAATTCTCCTCTATTGCAGCTCTCAAATCTCATTCTACATAAAGCTACTGTCTGGACTATACTTCTATGATTAGTTTAAGGAGAATGATGGTGTTTTTTGGTGTGTCGCTTCAGAAGAAAGAAAGAGATTTGGGTTTGGAGCATCATTAGGGTGAGTAAATGATGACAATATTTACATTTAGGTGAACTCCAACACTAACAGCAACCAAACTTACTCAGCTAATTTCTTGACAGACGCCTCGGTGTCGTCTGTGATGCGATAGTACGGTCCTTGCTTCTTAGAAAGGAATAAGTTAGTCTTCTGTCCTTTACTGAAGCCGGCGTGCATCGTGTAGCTGCTGCCGGTGCTCTGGAACTGCATCGCCTCTCTCGGGTAGAGAAGAATCGCAAAGGACATCGTCTCCAGAGAAGCGATGACCAGCTGAAACGTATTCCGCTATAAGGATAAAGAACAGAATTTATTAACTCATTAAGTGTATTTTATCCAATCAATTAAATCCATGACTCTTATAATTCACACATACAGCAAGATGCAATGATAAAGGCATCAGAACTTATTTCAGTTAGTTGCCAGAGCAACATTTCTCTTTTTTGTGTAGTTCAAGCTAAAGTATTAAAATTACCAAAACTTAAACTGAATATTAATAAAAAGTATTCAGACATATAAATAGCGGTGATCTGATTGAAAAAACTTGAAGTACTAAAAATTAAGTTCAAGTACTAAATTTACTAAAACATAAATATTACAAAAAAAAGGCAAAAAACACACAACAACAAAAAAAATGAACAAAACTCAAAACAAAAAATAAAAACCAATTCAAAATATGAATTAAAATAAAAAATATTATATTAAACATACTAAAATACACTGGATTTATCCTCACTTGTTTTTAACTCTTTATATTTAAAAGAAGTGAAAAAAGATCTTCCAGTGGAAAATATATTTACACATTTAAAACCTATGAAGCCTTAAAATATGATGCAATTATGCTTTAATTATAAGTTAAATATAAATACATATAAAAAAATTACAAATAATAAAAATGAAAAAAAAAAAAATCACTAAAACGTTAACTAAAATTAAAATGAAAACAAAATATAAAAATAAAAACTAAACTTATATTATATATAACTTATATTAATAAAAATTATAATAGTATATTAATTAAACTAAAATAAAACATGATTTTTTCCCCCAGTAGTTTTTAACTCTTTTATATTTAAAAGAAATGAAAATGATCTGCCAGTGCAAAATTATTTTTTTAAATTATGCTTTAAATATGCTTTTAACAAGTATATAATATAACAAATATAACTAGATATATAAAACCAAAACTAATAAAAGTGTCAAAAGACAACAAAATGACTACATTTTTAAACTAAAATTAAAATAAAAACACAATATAAAAAAACGAATTCAAAACATTAATAAAAAACTGTTATAGTATATTAATTATACAAAAAAAAACACTCTGGATTTTTTCCACTTGTTTTTAACAAAATTTTATATTTAAAAGAAGTAAAAAAAAAAAGATCTGGCCCAGCGAAATACATTATATTAATATATTCAAAATAAAACCTATATTAAGCCTTAAAATCGTATGCAATTACTTTAATTATGCTGTAAACAAGTTAAAATTAATTTAACTTGTTTTTAGAATTTTGAGATATTTTAACTGGAAAATCAGGCAAAAATACTTGTTAGGAATATGATTTTTGCAGTGCAGGTGAGTTTGACACATGCATTGGTAATTGTGATATGATGCATTTTTCTTAGGCTGAACGCAGATGCTATGATTCGATTTTCAAAAGCTATGGCGTGTTATGCAGCCTACCAATAATGCAAGGCAACCAGCAGTAGAAAAGTCCAACAATACATCAATGAAAAATACATGCTGAAATGTGTGAATGGCCCACCAATAAACTGAACCTCACTCTTCCGGTGTGCTCCAGTCCGTCTCCTCTGCTCTCAGCCCGATGGGACGCCACATCCACCCATGTGACCACCACAGCGCTGATGGGGTTCACCACGTCATCCTCAGGGAAGGCTCTGTTGATGTGATCGGCCGCCTGCTGTAGAAGAGCCGGACTGAAGTCCTGGCGGAAGAACACCTTTCCTACACTGTCGCTGGTGTCCAGGTCGCCTTGCAGAGCAGCGATCATCCCAAAACCAGCCGGCATGTTGCCCAGATACTCGGATTCTCCTGCTGGCTTCTCCAGAGCAACAAACCCATTGGTGTTGATCTAAATGTGAGAGATAGTAGAGAGAGAAACAGATACTGCCAATGGGAACCAATAGCCATAACAAAAACACTACAACACAATTATCTTTAATGACATTCAGTTTGGTTAATGATTAAATCTACAGCACCACTGAATTATGAGTTAACAGTCTGAATGTTATGAGAGAAAGAATAGATGCAGAAACATAATGCAATGATATCTTTCAGTTGCATTCAACAACAAACATACAGCGTGATCAGTGTAGTCTGATTCACAAACAAATGACTCTTGTGAACAAGTTCTTCTTGATAAATCTTTTTTGAAGACTCGAGTCATCATTTGAATCGGTCAGTTCACTCACAGAAATCATTTGGGACCTGTTGTTAGGTTACACAGTTATAATAAAGCAATTAATAATATTTTTTTTAATGAATAAAGCAATTAATAAAGTTTTTGTGTAGTATATAGAGCCAATTATTTAGGCAGGAGAGCACTTAAAAATCAAGGAAACACAATCGTGAAGAGGAATCAGAATCTGAATTCGCTGGGATCTCTATAGTTCACAGTATCTGTCTAGAATAAGTGGAAAAAAGATAGTAATTAAGTATATTAAAATAAAACTACTGGATACAATAGGCAAATAAAATAAAATAAAATAAAATAAAATAAAATAAAATAAATTAAAAAACTAAAAACTGGTCAAAACTCTGAACTTGCAATGCAATGCAAACATCAACAAAACATACATATCAACTGCTGATTTTGACTTATTTTGTAGATAACAAGATATTAAAGAGGATAAAGCAACAAAGTCTCCATGTAGTGTCCTAGAAAGACTCTCCCTACAGCAGAATGAGCAGTAACTGTAGTCTATTCAGCATAGCCGAAATGAAATCAGACAAACTCAAAAGCCTGATCTTGTGATCTTGCTCTTATACTTGACCAGATTCGCTGATCCTGTATTAGAGCTGAAGCGTGGCGTTTCTGTGCTACAACGTCACCCAAGAGAATTGCAAAAAATAATGACTGTTTTCAAAGAGGTTTCCGGGTGGCTCATCCTGGTATTGTTCACCTATTGTTTCAGAAATGCTGTGTACGTCAATATATGATCACATACTGTAAGTTGCTTTGGATAAAAGCGTCTGCCAAATGCATAGATGTAAATACTGCTATATAGTGAGGATTTACACATATTCAGGCACATGGAGAGTATCAAAACTCTTTTGGCAATTAACCTACATATGGTTTAATTACAGTCATCTTTGTACATTAAAACATGCACCATAACAGATTATTAAACCTGACCAGCTACAACTTGGACTGTAAAAATCAGACTTTTTAAAGCAGATTTAACATGAATACAGTTTAGATAAGAATGAATGAGGAAATGTTTCAGTGGTTTTATAAGGTATGTCATGCACATTTTGATTGTTTGTACAATGACTGTTCAACATCTCACTAAAACAGATGTGCACGCTTAGACTACATTTCCAGATGTTTTTCAAATGCTACAGCACATGCACTTTGTATTCAGCAGGAGATCCTATAAATCCTGATGAAGGAAAGTTTCATTCTTTCTTGTGACGTTGTCATTCATTCAATCTAGAAACAATCTGCTCTCAAACACTGGAGCTATTTCAGTCTTACAAAACAACAACAAAACATCATGTTGCACAAAGATACAGCCATGAATAGTGCTACAATACTCAGGGTAAGAACCAAAACAACTCAAAAAGGAAAAGGAAATTGGCAAATGAGACCTGTGGGAAAGGAAGCATTCAAGGGATTGTAATTATGAATGTTATTGTTAGTGGAGTCCGCTGAGAAAATCCTACATACAGATGTAAAAGTCCTACAAACACATTTTCCTGTTGTGTCTGGGTCAGTCTGACCCTTGTTAACTTTTTTAATCGGTTAAACTATTAATTTCTTCTTAAAAATTTGGTGACTTTTTCTCCTTTAGGGTCATGAATGTGCATGCAAAGTTTAGACACATAGATGTGTTTTGGAAAGGCTGTACAGAAATTGTTATGACCTCAAATTGACCCTCACTGGTGTCCATGCAATTTGCCAAAAATCAACACTTTGAAAAACACTAAAGAATCAGGTAAAAAAAAATTGTAACTTGTCAAAAACTAAAATATGAAATAGGGGTCGACCGATTATCTGCGCCGATATTAAGCTTTTTTATGGTTATCGTCTCAGTCATTTTCAAAATCGATTTGCCGATAAAATAATTTAAAAGCATTTAAAGAAAGTTTTTGTCAGAGCCCTTGTTATTCTTAATTTTGACATTAATTTTTATTTTTACACCAGACATATATATCGGTTCAAAATATCGGTTATCGGTCTACTTGATCTGTAATAATCGGTATCAGCATCGGCCCTGAAAAACTGGCCCCTAACACAATATAACAAAATGACACAATAAAAATAGGAAATTATTACATTTCTCACATATTTAATATTTTTCAGTAACTGACAAGCTATAACAGAGTTTTTCTGTTTTTACACAAATCTTTAGATATGATTTTTGCCAATTTGGTGATTTTTTTTATTTTTTTTGGCATGGAAACCAATGGGTGTCTGTTTGACCCCAACATAAAATTAGTACTGGATTTCAAAACAACAGTAGGGTTAAATCATCTAAACAGTCCAGGATCTGATTCACCCAATCAATACGCACTTATGCAGGAATGTGTCTGGAGTATTTCACTACAGGAGTCACTCAAAGTCAACATGAAAGCAAAACTGATGCTATTTACCTTTGTGATAAACATTCCCACTCTAATTGTTAATGATTCATCAGAGCAATCAATCAATCAATCAATCAATCAATCAATCAATCACAATGCCGTTTCAAAACCTCTTCAAACAATGCTCAATTAGCACTGGATCACAGCATTTCTATTTTAATCGAGTATAATGAGCTGTTTTGTCTGTGTGCTGCTGTAGTTACTGTGTCAAGTCAATCAGACGGGCGAAAAAACATAGCAAAAACAAACCGCAAAGCATTTGCTTTATGAAACTTATTCATCTTTATTTCTGTTTATTTTAGAAAACACTCACTGACAGAGACTAATCAAGTTTTAAATATGTTGGCATTAGGCAGGTGTTGGGAATTTCAGCTGTGAATCCCATTCAGACTCATCAGGTTTCAGTAATTCATCCTAAAGACACAAACATGTATGTGTGTGTATTTATGCTATAAAACGCTTTAAAGCCAGCTAACAAAAATATGTTCCAAGAACTTTTTGCTAACTTTCCCATTATGTTATGAAAACGTTGTTTGAAACTTCATTCATTCAAAACATCCAGTTTTTAAAATGTTTTAAAAAAATTTCTTGGTTATGTTAACGTTGGAACAAAAAAACATTAAGGGAATGTTCAATTTCATCATTTTGTGAGCAAACATTATGAGAACGTTACTTCGGAATGTTTTCTGAATGTTCTGAAACAAGTAGTGACGTCCAACTAAAATGTTTCAGAAAAAAGTTCCATGAATGATGTATAAATTGTGATAATGTCTCGATAACGTTATTAAAGACCAGATAACTTTGAACGAATGTTCTATTGACATTACTGTAATAATGTTTCTTCTTAACTTTGAGAGAACCTTGCCAGAACATTCTGAGAACGTTGCCTTTTAGCTCAGAAAACTGTATGTACTTCATAAATACTACTATGTACTAATATATTTGAATGTATATGTAGCACTGACCTTTGGCATTACTGAATTGACCTAATAAAAATTATTTCAAAGTGTAACTATACAGATCGAATAGATGGATGTAGCTTATGCTTACAAATATTTTAAAATCGCCTCACTATTCTGGACATGTACCATGGTAAATTGCCCTTGGAGTGCAAATTCTCTTCATGCCACAGTTTTGAGTCTGGATACAGAGCACATTCAGGGCTTTTCAGAGATCCCAAAATGTTTAGAGGTTTGATCATAAACTCCCTCTCCTTGGTCTTTAAATATGACTGATATTGACAGATTGATCAGATTTGGCACTCTTAGGGAAATATGATAGTATTTTGTAATAATCATTTAAATCGGACTAATTTTCAAATTGTTTGTCGTAAATAAACATCTCAGAAAAATGTGATGGGGTTTCAAATCAGAATATGACTTGGCATAATTTTCATACGTGTCTTCTGTAGAGGACACCAGGACAAACATCATGTTAAAGGGGTCATATGATGCTGCTAAAAAGAACATTATTTTGTGTATTTGGTGTAATGAAATGTGTTTATGCGGTTTAAGGTTAAAAAAACACATTATTTTCCACATACTGTACATTATTGTTTCTCCTCTATGCCCCGCCTTTCTGAAACGCGTCGATTTTTACAAAGCTCATCGGTCTGAAAAAAGCGAGGTGTGCTGATTGACCAGCTATCCAGTGC